AGAACGAATTAAGTTCATGAACCGAGGTACCAGTGTACAGGGATAATCACATTAATTTTATTTATTTCATGTAATTTAAATTAAATAGCAATACATTTGTCAAAAACCCCATCTAGTTTTTTCCCTTTTTTTCCCCAAGTGTCCCCACCTGCAAAATAAAATGTAAATTAGCCCCAAAAGTTTGGGATGTATCTCTAATCTACAAATTTCTTCACTGGGATTTAGAAGCAAGTATACAGCTCCCCTAGAATACGTTAAACTATATAATCTTTTTTGTTAATGTGTGAGAAAAGTATTATTGTACAAGAAATCACCTAGAAGATTATCTGGCATTAGATTATGTTCAACTATCCGGGTATAAATCCCACTGAACTCAATAGGATTGTCCGTGACTTCTGAATAGGCATGTGTAGGATTTTTCCCTATTGGAAAAATGTGCTGAATTTGTGATGAAGCAGATGACATTTTGACAAGCAATGAAGACATGATAGGAAAAATAAGACTGCCTTGACCAGGAAGTGATTCAGTTTTATTATATTGGTTAGAATAGTTGCAAAATTGTAATCTATACTTGCTATATATTTGCATTTGCAAGCATCAAGTAAGAGTGATTTTGGTATAGTACTTAAAAGCTAGAAACTGGGAGACTGCCGTAGACATGAAGTCAGGTGGGTGATTTTGGGCCAGTCACTCTCTCTCAGCCCTAGGAAGATGGCATTGGTAAGCCACTTCTGAGAATCTTGTCAAGAAAACTACATAGACCTGTCCAGGCAGTCACCAGGAGTCAAGAGTGACAAAGACATATGCACACAAAACAAGCACCAAATTGTCCCTATATAAATGATTATTTTTATACAATATTTGCCTAATTAGTTTGGAAATCTGAATGTAGACTAACAAGAGCCAAATCTGAACATACAGCAACTGTAAAACATGCTGTCCTTCCTTAAATCAAAAGGATACTCTTCAGAATTCTTTCACAATTTCCTGTACAGAAATACAGATTGCAAATAACTGATCCAAACTGAAAAAAGTTAATGATTTTATCCTAGAAACAGATGATTTATTCAATAAGGAAGCCTATATGTGTTATTTTCCATGTTCCAATATGTGAACTGACTTACCACAAAGGCTCAAGGGAGCAACAGATTTAAGGAAAAAATCATAGGCCAAACACATTACTGAATATGAAATGTAATTTATTCTTGCAAAAGATGAGGAAAGAATGCACTTCACAGTTGTTGAAAAATGCACAGAATGCAATGCCCAACAGGAATCACTGCATGATAATACAATGCTTCAATGTAATTTAGATAAGGGGAAAATATACCCTTATGGAATTCTCTGTATCCATTACTATCAAGAATGGCAAGCCAAAGAGATGGATTGTAAACTTGAGACTGAAAGCTTTACAGAGCTCTTAATGTACTCAAGGCTGAGGTACTGAGAAGTCATCACTGAACATAATTAAAGGAGACAGCATATCTGTCTTACCTAAGTTGTAAAGAAACACATGAGGGAGAAAAAGCTCCCAAGGTTTTTCCTTGGCTCAACTTGATAAGCTGGCTGCTGCTGCCTCCTCACATAGACCCTTCCCACTTCAAAAGGTCGATGCTTCACCAGTTCAATCAGTGCAGTAGTTGCCACAGCTCAAATGGCTATTCCTTGCTTCATGAATGCCATGTGACAGTGGCCTGATGAGTCTGGCCCAAACCAGCCCCCTCAAATAGTACAGGAGCCAAGCAGCCCTGGCATACTTAGGCCTTTCCCTCTGTTCATTCACAAAGCCATGCTGGAGCAGCATGACTAGAATCACTAGTTTTCCCCACTGGAAAGGGGTTCAACTGGAACGACTAGAGCAAGCCACGTCAAAGTAGTCTAACTAGCCCAGCAACGCTTAATCCGCATACTCCTTGGCATCCATATGTTAACCATGCCTCCCAACTGGCTGGTCTGGCCACATCCTGGCCTTTTCACAGATATAACTGTTCAGGTTAGCCTCCACCTAATCCCACATAAGCCCTTTATATAAAAGGAAGGGCAAAGAAGAGAGAGGATGAAAGAAAAAGGAAGCCACAATGGAAGTGGAGGTGACAGCAGGGCAGCAGCAGCAGCAGCAGCAGCAGCAGCAGCAAGACTTATCCCAACTGCTAGGGCAAGAGGGTAAGCAGCCTGAGCTGGGAGAAGAAAAGGAATTAAGAGGAAAGGGAAGGCATTTCTCTTTTCCCCACCCTCTGGCCTTTCAAAGCCTTAAATATTGGCTTTTAGCAGCAACACTGCCCAGAACTTGCTTGGAGCTCAGACTTGAAGCTCAGCAGCAACCCTACCTGGGAACTCAGCCTGAGAGCTCAGCAGCAATTTTGCCCACAAATCAATGGCTATAAACAGCTTCAAGGAAGCAGAAAGCTCAGTGCCAATCAAGGCCAACAGCAAAAATTGCACCAAACCAGGAAAAAAACCTAATCGGGTCTGAATCTACCCAGGCATAATAACTAAGGCAGTCCTCCTAGCTGAAGATTACTTAGTTGCTAGAAGAGCAATATGGAGGGGACAACAAAGGAGGGAAAGAAAAGGGTGACTGAGAAAGGAGGTTGATGAGGAAAGGTAGCCCTACTCCCATCTAGAGAGGTCAAACTCTTATTCTGATTGTATAGAATATGGGGAGCAGATAGACTTTAGTCTGCCTTTATTTAGTTGAGATAGCTCCAAGAATGGGTGAAAAATGCTCATTAGCTATATCGAACCTGTACCTCTGGTAACTAACCAGATCAGATCAGAACTTAGGTGGTTGGAATTTTGATTACTAAAAAGGACAAATTTCTCTTCTTATTTACAATTAATATACCCTGAGAACTCATCCTCTAAAGGAGTAGGAGTAACCACTTGGGACGAGCCTGGAAGTGGGCAGAGGAAGCATGCCAAAATCATAATTTGGCTTCTAAATTATAGTAAACAACTTATAGTATGATCTGTAGAATCTGCAATATGTATATAATACCCCATTCTCTTCCCAACATTTTCATTCTGACTGAATGACATAGGATCTATATTTAACAGAGAAAAAGCTCACCTTTGACAGAACTAAAACTGGTTTCTGAAAATTCTTCACTCAGATCTATCAGCGTCCCCTCAGATTTGCATCGTGAGAGGCAAATGGCATTAGCAGCACGAATCCTCTGGGCTGCCATCTTAAGATATGTGCCGTTTCTTAAGAATAAGAAAATCTAATGAATCATCTTCTCTAGAAGAGATGTGGCAAATTCTGTGCCATTTATTTTCAAAGGTTGCAACTACCAATGTCATTCAATATTTTCTTCCACAATATATACCTGAAGAGAAAAAAGAACACAACATTTAAAAAAAATATGCATTTTTGTATGATTAAATTGCAGAAACTTTGTTTGTTTGTTTGACTTATATGGCCATCCATTTTAAAAGACACAACTCTGGGAGGCTCACAGTAGTAAAACCAAAACACAATAAAACCAAAAACTGGACACTTCGCCTTTGATGCAACCAACACAAGCATCTTCAGGTTCCAGGCTCACCCTATCCCAGAGCTTGGGGGAAGAGTCAGTTCTTTATGGCCTTTCAGAAGGCTAAGTGGGTGGGGGCTTGCCAGATTCATCTTGTTGTACCCATCTCTGTAGGAGCTGCTACAGAAAAGGCCTCTTCCTAGATGGCAAGATTTAAGGGAAGGGATCTAGAGTGTGCCAACTCTATCTGATCTGGTGGAACAGGATCCACAAATAACCTGGCCCCATGCCATGTAGAACTTTAAAGATAATAACCAGTACTATGAACTCCACCTGAAAAATACCTGGGAGCCAGTGCACATCGCACATCAGAGGTGTAATATGGGTGAACTGAGGTTCTACATGTGCTGATACTGCATTCTGGACCAGCTGTAATTTCTGAGTGGTCTCCAAGGGCAACCCACTCCAGCAATCCAACTAGGAAGGGGAAGCATTGCAGTAGTCCAACCAGGAAGTGACCAACATGTGAGTCACTGTGAGCAAGGCCTCCTGATCCAGAGATGGGTACAACAAGATGAATCTATGCAAAGGCCCCTTTAGCCACAGTTACTACCCGCTCCTCAAAATCCAGGAGGGCCCCCAAAATTGTGCACCTGCTCTGAGGAAGTGGTACCCCAATCAAGAGTCAAAGATAACACATCAGCAGACCCTTGAGGGGAGGGCATAAATTCAAAGCCACTCAGTCTTCTAGGGTTGAGTTGGAGCTGGTTCCTCCCCATCCAGATCCTCACAGCCTCTAGGTATTGGGTCAGCACTGCAACAGGTGCCTGGTCAAGAGTGGAGATGTGCAAGTGGGTATCACCAACATACTGATGAAACCACACCCTGTGCCGTCAAATGACCTCATCCAGTGATTTCATATAGATGTTAAAGTATAGTGAGAGACCTGAGCCTGAGCCACCCCACGCTGCCATCAACACTGACTAGAACCACTGCAAAAGTGTCTCCAATTCCCAATCCCCAGAGCCAGTCCAGAAAGCAAAAACTATAAATGGTATTGAAAGCTGCCAAGAGTTCCAAGAGGGCCAGGCCAGTTCCACTATGTCAGTCTAAGCACTCCAGAGGTCATCCGCAAAAACCAATGCCATCTCAGTACTGTACCTCAGCCTGAACCCAGACTGAAAGTGTTCCAGATAATCTGCTTCATCTAGGGTTCTCTGAAACTGAGCGCCAAACACCCTCTCAACAACCTTCCTTAGAAAGAGGAGGTTGGTGACTGGATGAAAGTTATTGCTGGGTCCAAGGATGGCCTCCTGCAAAGAGGCATTAACCACAAGTTGAACCCAACCACATGCCACCTCCTGGGAAGCCCTGACCAAGAAGGGGCATATTTTCATCGTAAACTAACAAATTTATGAATTATGGAAGAAGATTATTTAATTAGCAGACAAGATTTGTCCGATTTAAAACTCTCAGAGATGATACATGCCAAGGCCAGAACACATTTCTTTCTTCCAAAAAAAATAAAAAATAAAAAAAACCCTTCCATATAATGAACTCACAGGAGTTATAGAAACTTTGGGTGGATATGTTGTCATGCAAATTTAATGTTCACATGTATTATTCAGTCTTTGATCACAGAAATCTAGATTCAAATCCCTATTCAGAAGTTGCACTTAGTGACTCTTAACTGGTCAGGTCAGTAGTGCAGCTAACCCTACTTTGTTGAAAAAAGAAAAGATGTAAACTTGACAGTAATAATTTATAAGATTATCAGTCAGCCCTATAAAGTAGACCAAACAAAGAAATCAATGCCATGGAGGTCTAAAACTACTTTTAGCTACAATGACAGAATCTTGCAAGTCTGAATGTGCTTCCTTCCTCCTTCACTTTATCTTTTTGTGAATTAGGGAGAGGCCCATCTGAGATGTTTTCTCAAATTAGTTTCTTGGGATGGACTTAAGCCATGCTTGTCTGATCATTGCCTTGGTAGCTGCTCTTCCTCCTGTCCTTCAAAGCCATTCCCTATGCCCTCTACAGTTATATTGCCAAATTCCAAAAATATGAACTAGCTCTAAGTTTCTTTAGAACACATTCAGGGCACTGCAGTATACCAATAATACAAATTACAGGTAGTTGTCAGTTAACGACCATTTGTTTAGCTTCTGTTCAAATTACAACGGTGCTGTAAAAATGAACTTATGACCTGTGCCCAAAGTTACGGTCCTTGCAGCACCCCTGTGATCATGTGATCAAAATTTGGGGACTTGGCAGCTTGCCCACATTTACAATTGCAGGGGCGCTCCAACTCCCCCATCTTCCCTGTCTATGCCCTTTTGGCCACCCTGTACCCTGCCCGGCGGCAAGCCTCAGCACGCAGCAGCATTTGCTCATGCCCCACCATTCATTTGCTCCCCAGGTGCCTTCTCTCCCAGTTCCCCGCACCAAACCATTCTCCTTTTGTGCCCAGCTACCCTGGCCAAAGCAGAAACACCTGGCTCCCTTTGCCGTCTTCCTTTTCAGACCCAGCTTCTCTGGAGAACACATGGCTCCCTGAGGCTCCCGCTTGGGGAGAGTAAATGAATACCGGCACGTGAGTGAATGCTGCTGCTTGCCAAGGCTTGCCCAAGGCAGGGTGCAGGGCAGCCAAAAGGGCATAGATGGGGCGGGAGACAGGCAGGTGGGGGGAGGGTGCTGGCTCAGGGCTAGGAGGGACCAACTCTGGAATGTCTTGGATTGGGGTGGGTACTCATTTAACAACCCACAATTCTTGGTTAATGACTGCAATGGGGAGAGACAGGATTGAGGTTGCTAAGCAATGCGGTCACATGACATCTCCCTTTACAACCACATTGCTAAGCAACTAAAATTCCAGTCCCAATTATGGTCATTAACTGAGGACTACCTGCAATGTAATATTTAAGAAAACAGAAACATATACTTTCACCCAGCCATACTAGAGACTAACTTGGAGTCTGGATAGTGTGCTTTCCAGCAAAAATGTAAATTTTCTTTTATTTAAACTACTTTCTAGTGATTATGATTTAGAAAGAGTAATTCATATATTACCAAAGATCTCCCTAGATCTTTGGGATAAAATAAGCTATAAATAAATAAAATGAATAACTAAATAAAAATATTTCATTCGACCTGTGGATCACACAATTGTTCCAGTGGTGTGAGTATGGTTGTTCTCATGCATTTAGTATGTAGAGAGGCAGACTGATCCTCTGGCTGGAGGCAATACCTCCAAGGCTAGTAGTCATGGACTGACCTGTAACAGGAATTTATCTAGTCCCCTTCTGAAAGGGACTAACTAGTGGCCCACACCAAATCTTGTTCCACAGTTTGATTACATGTTGTGTGAAAGAATATTTCCTCTTACTGGTTTTAGATTTTCTACTTGTCAGTTTCTTTGGATGGTTCTAGTATTATGAAAGATGGAGAAAAAACTTATTTCTGTTCACTCTTTATTATTTATAAACTTCATTGGTATCTTTGTCCTGTCCTCATACAGAAGGTATTACAAGCTCCCTGACCATCTTGATTTGTCCTTTTCTGCATTTTCTCCAGCTTTTCCTCTTGAGAAGTGGTGACCAGAACCATAAACAATGTTTAAATGGGGCTACACCATAGATTCATGTAGTCATTTCTTTATTGTTTATTCCTAATGGCCCCCTAGCATGGAATTGACTTATTTACCACTTTTTCAATTGCATTGAATCATCTACAATGACTGCATCCTTTTTTGGTTAGCCACTGACAGTTCAGCCCCCATCATTTTGTAAGTGAAGCATGGACTCCCAGGTCCTGAGTGCATCACTTTATACTTGCTGGCACTTAACTGCATTTCCCATTTAGTGGCGTAGTTACCAAGTTTGGAGAGATCCCTTTGGAGTTCTTCACAGTATTTTTACCACATTAAATAATTTTGTGGCGAGCCAGTTTGGTGTAATGGTTGAGGCACCATGCTAGAAACTGGGAGACTATGAGTTCTAGTCTAGTTCTAGACATCACGCCAGCTGGGTGACTTTGGGCCAATCATTTTCTCTGAGCCCTAGGAAGGAGAAAATGGCAAACCACGTTTGAACATGTTGCCAATAAAACTGCAGCGACTTATCCAGGCAGTTGTCAGGAGTTAAGAATGATTCAAAGGCACAACAACAAAAATTGTGACATCTACAAATACTGCCCTTTCACTCATTCTAAATAATTTACAAATGGTGAAAGGCATGGGGCCTAAAACAAATCCTTGAGAGATCCCATTTTCTTATCTTCCCTCCATTGTGAACTTTCCTTTATTCCTACTCTGTTTTCTGTTGTTCAACCAATTACCGATCTAAGGAATTCCTTTGAAGATGATCTCTGCCAAAAATGTTTTGAAAGGTATGGCTTCCCTAAACGTTATAAATGTGTTTTTCCTGATGATATTTTAGTTACACATTATAATCCCCTGGTCAGAAAGGGGATGTCTCACAGGCAGCTGCAAATTTAATCAGTGGTGTCTGATTCTGTTGTTTACTTCTGTTTAAAAAAGCTACAATCCTACTACCCTCTTAACAGGAATAAGCCTGATTGAACTTGTATCAGAACAAACATTGTGCAAACAGGCTGAACTGCTCATCTAAACAGTGGGGTACAGGGCCTGCTCCTTTGTTATTTATATGGCAAATATAATTCTTTGTAAGGAAGCTGAAATCTTATACATACTTACCTTCAAATAAAGCCACACTAACTAGTGAGTCTTACTTCTGTGTAGGTAGGCAGATCAGCTGATGTCCTTTGTTATTTTGAAATGAGAGGTTTTCGTTTCAGCTCTGACCCAATTAAAAGCGGAACATGGTCTGAGAAAGGTTTTCTACTCCTGATATAAGCATAATAAAAACAACCCTAGTAAGATTGGGTTCCATGTCAAAGCAGGCAAACCATTGCTATCAGGCTTTGGTCCCTCAATTAATTTTCAAATTATTGTTTTCATTCAGAATTCATTGAAAAAATGATTTTTCAATTTTGTCTAGATATGTCACACAACTGCACTAATTATGATAAATGGAAGGTTATTTTTGGTATAAGCAAAAAAGCTTTGAACTATGACTAGTTGGACTTATTTTGATTTCTCTAATAATTTATCTTTAGGAAATATCTTGTCTTGCTTGTCATAAGATGACCTAGAATACTGACTAAAGTGTTAGGAAGTTGGGAATTTACATTGTACAGTGTTGTGCTAAACAGAGTGTATCCTGAGGGTGTATATACCTCTTCACTGGTGGGATGCAAGCCATAGTATGTTGGCTTGCAGGGAGGCTCTGGAATAGAGCTCCTAGCTTGGGCAGCATAGTGTGAGCAAGCCTGAGATAAAACTGGGCTTTAGTTGTGCTTGTGGCATCCTGGCTAACGTGTCTAAACTGTCTGATCCTGTCCTTAACATTAACAGAGAATGCTACACATGCCATGAGAAAATTAAGGCCAGTAACTTGACCAATACCTTCTCTATTTTACTAAAAAACATTCTGTGAAAGCCTTCTTTGATCAAAGCCACGATGGTAGCAGAGTTCAGTATCTATAAACCTACCAGGTAACTTAGAATGAAAGAGGAGAAAATTGGTAGAGAGCATTAATTAATTAATGGAAAAAAAAAAAAGATATGTTGCCTGTTTGTGAAATTAAGAAAAAGTGGAAGATCTGAATTAAGATGGTCTGATCTTACAGAGTAGAGCTGATAAATACATGTAGGAAATAAAAAGTATAGATTTAATTATGAATGAAAGGGATAAAATGTATGTCTTGAATTGGTGTCATCTAGGTTTTAATGGATACATATGAAAATAGGAATTCATAGGTTAGCAATATAATTGCACATTATAATCCAGTGAATGGTGATAATGGAATAAGCAAGGATAAATTGGGGGGGGGGGAATTGTGCAACCTTCTAAAGTAATGTGGTCCAAGGGGAAAATTATTCAGCAAGTTAGTGTGAATAGGAATGAGACAAGACAGTACAGCTGGGTCATTCAAAGATCACAGAATGAGGGAGAATGGTGATTGTTCAGTGACTATTTGAAAGAAAGAAGAGTAAAAGCAAAAGATTGCAGGAGGAATGATTTCATATGGTCTTGTTATGAAAAAGTATTAGTTTATAGATTAATTTCTCAACAGACAGAATGAAAAATGGTCAAAAGGAAGATGAGGAAGAGGCTCTGAACAGTGAAAAGCATATGTTCCACAGAGCTACAGAAGTGTTTGGAATTATCCTAAAAGAAAGTATGAAAAAGAATGATGAAATGTTGAAGTGAAAAGATAGTTCCAAACAATACAAACAAAGGCAGTAAAGAATAGTTAAGATTAAAAGAAAAAGAGAAAATGCAGAGTGATATTCATGAAAACAAAATGTTGTTTGGAAGTGGGTGAAAATAAGGAGCCTCCAGCAAAGTGAATGAATTAAAAATAAAAGTGATGAAATAATCTGGGATGAAACTGAAGTGAAGAAATACTGGACAGGTATTTTAGAGATTTGTGAGAGATACTGCTGTGCAGAAGAGTGGAATTACAATGCATACTATAAATATTACCATCCAAGAAAAAACATTGAAAAAGAAGTAATAAATACTTGTGAGAATATTGAAAAATAAGTTTGCAGGTATAAAAGTTGTAACTGGAGAAATTTTTAAAAGACATGACTTGTTTAATGTGTTTGTGCGAAGACTGTATCTGTCTACCTGTTAGAAGAACACTGTTATTGTTCAAAAGGGAAAGGAGCAAGAACAAATGCAGAATCTACAGAAGAAATAATTCATTAAGTTAGGGGCTTGGCAGAATGAAAAGAATACAAAAGATGCTTACAAGCAAAATGAAAGAATAGTATGGCTTTATGCCAGACAGAGAGTATGGAAACCAGATTTTTGCTTCTCAGCACATCACTGAGAAATGGATGAATGTGAAAGAGATTATATGTCTGTTGATTTTGAGAAACAATATGATAAAATGAATAAGCTTGAATGATAGAATATTAATTATAGAATATTTCCATGAATACAGAGTTGAAGGTTGGCTGCTGGGTGTCAAAAGAGTGATATATTATGTTAGTAAATATTACATGAAAATAAATGCTTAATGAAAGCTTCAGCATTGCGTAGGGAGTACCACAAAGACATCTGTGTTTGCTTGATGTATTTATAGATAAATGAGTATGAAATGTAATAATAGACATAGGTTATCTGGGGACATGAATGTATGTATACTATTGTATGCAGATGGCTGAGAACTCAAATGATTTGCAGTGCATGTTAGGGATGCTGTACGAAGTTACACAGAGCATGGATCTGAAAATTTATCTTTCAAAGACCAAGGTAATTGGGCTTGATAAGGAAAATCGGGTGAATGACTTCAAGTTATACATCAGCGGCAAGAAATTAGAGCAACTATATGAATCTATGTACCTTAACAGAATGCAAATATTGGTAGAAATGCAATAGGTAGCATGTGAAGAATGCCTGTTGAAAGAAGTGAAAATAATAATCTAAAAGAGTATTTCTTCCAACCCAAGTGAGAACTGAGTATATGAGGAGAACCGTAAAAGTTGAATGCAGTGGGAATGGGTACTTCAGAAGTACGTGTGATAAAACAAAGAGACAGGATCAAGAATGTATGGGTGCTGAAAGAATGTAGACTGAATACAGAAGTGTGAGACCAGTATGAAAGAAGTACACTAAGGTTATATAGAGAATGAGGTTTGAACTGCAAAGGATTGAGAGAAAAGGGAGAAACAAGAAAGTTGTCGTGGTTTGATGAGACCCTAAAAAAGAGAAGTGAGACAGTTACAAAACAAAAGGCATATGGATGTAGTGGAAACAAGAATGGTTTGCAGAGACAGAAAAGTATGGAGGTATAATAAATGGCATAGGTGTAAACTAGCTTTAGCCCCATTTCCTTTTCTTATCTCATGCTTTTACTTTAATTTCTTGGTCTTTTCTTCCACTCTGCTGTATGTTGCTTACTCCAAAAGGGAATAGTGTGACAGTATAAATCAGGAGTTGCTCCTTTTGCATTATTTTCAGTTAGCAACCCCGCCCTGCAGCAGCCTCACCAGACAAGCTACATTAGAAATTAAGGCTGTCTGAAAGAACTTCATATATTTGTAAATCTTGCTTCCAAAAAGAAAACTTTTATTCAAAACTTTGATGAAAACTTACTGCTTACTTAGATGTAAGCAAACTACATAGCTAATGTAAATATCAGTGTTAATTACTCTGTAAGAAGGTGATTTCTGGCAAGGCTGACACATTCCATTTGCCTCAATGGTATGTGTTTAGGCCTTTCTGAGTAACAGTTGTTTTTACCTTAAGAACTGACAGCTACATCTCATGATCCTGTATTTTGTGCATTTTGGGATGCTGGAATTCTGGCTGCCTTAGGTTTTTCAGTTCTTCCACTGAGGCCTTATCAAAGGTGGCTTTTTAAAAAAGTTTGTATAGTTCTTTTCAACCCCACACCACTCCCATGATTGAGAGATGTTCAGGGCAGGCCTCTGAGTTATCCCAACCCCCTGCAACAGGACTTCTCAAATAAATTGGGGAGATGTGTGACCCCGACGAAATACATAGAATAAGTTTACCATAGTAAGGATATCAACCAGCAAATGGGAGAGGAATTTAAATGAAAGTGATATTTACTCTCCCAACTACAGTTAAATACCAGCAGGCTTTCTTCTGCTACTGGCCTTTCAGATCACAACCTCTATAGAAGCTTTGGGCGGTAAGGAAACCTTCCCTTAACACCAGAGAAGTACTGAATTTGAGTAGAACGCGTTTCAAGGTAAAACTAGACTCAAATTATGCCTCCCACGCTTCATTTCACATTTGCCATTGTTTTGAATAGGCACGATCAAATTCAGTCAGAAGCTGGGATGTTAAAGGTTTTCCAGTGGCCGAACAATTGTTTACTAGTTCGTATGTTTCCAAGGATAACGAGACTAGAATTAGAACAGAATTAATTTACGTTTCAAATACAGGGTTGAAAATTATAAACTTGGCTAGCAGTAGGAGATCCTCTCACATCTGAGTTTCACTTCCTTTGCTTTCTTGTTACCTTTTATCGCAAGCAAATGGACTCCATTCCAAGCTTGTTATGAAGAGCTCCCCAAAGCGTGCCGTCTTCCAGGCTCATCCACCTCTGTCCTGCAGGGAAGGAAAAAATATTCCGAAACGATCTCGCTAGAAGAGGCCGACATCACGCCGCGCACCGCTCTGCCGGGACATGGGCGGGGCTTCCCTGCCGTATTCTCTGGACCAGCAGCCCCGCCCCCGCCCGCCCCTGCCCCGCCCTCCCCACGGCCGGCGGGGTCGAA